AGGCTGTCCAAGCACTGGCACAGGTTAACCAGGAAGGCTGTGGTGTCTATATCCTTGGAGATGCTCAAAAGCCACCTGGACATGGTCCTGGGCCACGATCTCTAGGTGATCCTGCTTGAGCAGCTGGGTTGGACCAGATGACCTCCCTTTCCACCTCAGCCAATCTGTGGAAGAGGAAAAATGCTGTCACAATATCACCAAGTCAAGGCAGCATCCAGTAAATGCCGTCAGAGGGGGATGAGCTGAGCTTTGGGATGGCACGTTCATCTAGGCTGTGGTTAGGTTTTATCATCTCATAAACAGGAAGCACGTTTGCAAGTCACCAACTAAAAATGTAGGTACGTGGCCATCGTTCCTGCTGGGCAAGCAGACTCTGTCAGCGCAGGCTGCCCACACACCTGGTTGGCGCTGCCAGGATCCTAATGCAATGGATGAAGCAGATCCTCAGCCCTCCGTAGCAGGGCGAAGCTGAGAGCTTTCCCCAACCCTGTGTCAGCAACCAGCTGGCCCCAGGGATTCCTTCCTCCCAGGGGCAGCCACTGGAAATTCTCAGAAGGGCTCTGACATCATGTCAAAAACTCTCCATTGTTCATCATCCAGCATCTTGTTTAATATTTTAACATGCAAATAGGCTGATACTTCCCTGGGAGAGGAAGGGTTGTGGTAAAACTGGGCAATCTGCAGAGTGAAGTGTTTGCACCCAAACTCATAGCTTTCTGCTGAAACATCAAGGTGTGGCTCTCCAGCATCTGGGATGGGACCAGTTTAGAACACCCCTGCTCCCACCTGTGCCGTTTGCTGCAGCACCATACGATGCAAACCTCGATGCAATGCACCATACAGTGCAAAACTACACAGTGTGCTGTCGTACTTTGCAAAGCCTGACACATGGTTTGGGTTTAATGTCATCTGGGAAGAAACCACCGGCTTCATCCAAAGGTTGAACCCAACTGCACCATGGAAAGGCACCATCTGCCTGCACTCCAAGACATTTCCACGGTTTATAGTCTTTTAACAAGCTCCTCTCCCATAGCACCACCTTTGCTGTGCTGCTCAGTGAGCTTAGATACCAAAATCTAAAATCAAAGCTGGTGGATCAACATGGGACCAAGACCTCTCTGCTGTCAGGTCATACACTGGGACTTGGTGCCATGGTGTCTTTCTGGGCCTGGATTCACCAGGGATTTTGCAGAAGATCATCGTGCTCTACAGAAAACCAGCTGCAATGCTCAAGTCAGACTTTTCTTTATTTGCCTGTCTTTCACTTGTGAGTGCGAGGACTCAAGTCACTGAAACAACACAGCACATGCTCCCACAGCCATGTCCCAGCAAGCTTCCAGCCCGAGCCCAGCTGGGATCCATCACAGCACCACCAAGAGCCATGCTCTAAACACTCAAGAGGATTTAGAAGACCAGTAATAGGATTGTAAACCCTGTTCCCTTGGTCACCACCATCCACGAGAGCTCAGCCAGTAACTGAGCCCTTTAGAGTCTGGCCCATTAAAGCTCTGCCATGAGCATGGTGAGCGAGGACCTGATCGTTCTTCCTGCCTTAAAAAAGTCTCTCTCTAGGGAATATTATTGGAGCTCACAAGCTGCTTCTGTGCATTTTTAATAAAAGGGATCTCACATCATGGCCCTGTGAGAAGATCAACAACTTCCATGGTGCTCACACACACTGGTCTGTGCAGAATGGGCAATGGTAATCCACCTCTTTGGGTGGGTGAAGGATCAGTCAGCCTGGGTCAGCGGCGTCCCTGTGTGAACCAACCTGGAGAGGCGTGTTCATTGCCAGCCATAGCCTGTAACTTTTCTGCCGGGCTCGGGCTTCCTTCTCCCATTCCGCTCAGCTACAGAGAGTTAGGTGATCCGCATTTCCCCATCTCAGGCATTGGATGCACTTCAGGGATGAACCAGGGCTTGGGGCTGGGGGAAACCCACATCAGTTTAAACCACGTTGGAAAAGACAGTGTCAAGGTCTGGAAACCTGAACGTGGCAGAGGTCAGTCATCCAAAGCCAGCAGTGTCTTCATCTTTGCTTAAAGCTAGAAACCGTGTTTGCCTTATGAGTCAGACATTTGGTGCTCTGGGCAAGTGGCCTGTCTTGTTCCTTCGGGGCGAGGGGCCAGCTCCAGTGCAGATGCAGCTATCGAGCAGTGATAAACCAGATTTAACCAAATAATGGTATGGTCATGCTCCATATAAGCACACGAGTTCATCTCAGAATGGAATAAGAAAATCACTTTAAAATATTAAAAGCTTAAAACCGTTTTCCTCATAGCAAGTGAACAGGGATGATATTCCCAAAAGTTTCTTCAAATCAAACATGTCTGCAATGAGACAACTTTACTGGAGTTACTAAATACTCAGTAACTGCTCAAATCAAGGAACGACAATAGGATTTGTGGTGAGGCTTCAGGTAGGTTTTAGGTTTTAAATGTAGGATGAGATATAGTCGCTTGCAGGACTGCAGATACGTTTTAGTTCTTGATTATTTGCCATATCTGAACTTGCCTGAACAACTCTGGGTTTTAAAGCGGGTTGTCCTGAGTGAATTACTAACTGGTACTAAGCTAAGCATGTTGACCTGGAGAAGTATTTAGTACCAAAGTCATCCACGTTCTGGTCCCTGGTGGAACAAAATGAGATTATCCCGATTCGGTTCCTCCCCATCACCTCCTCACCTGGGTTTTGAAATACAAGGCTTCACCTTTTTGATGGGCACTTTGGCAAATGCTGCGATCGGGGACAGGGACAGCCACCTATTTCACAAACATATAGAAATGTTCCCTTACTTATGCATCGAGCTGAGAGCACAGATGTATTTCCTTCTCTAAGTCAGAGCCTGAAACCAAGCTGCTGTTTGCTGCCACCCCTGTGCCTACGTGAGGCGGGGCTCTGGAGCCTGCCCGGGTTTTGCAACAGGATTTATCCAACGAGAGTGTTACGAACAGCTGGAAACAACACATCTCCTCTGAGCTTGCAAAGTGCATTATAGATACAAATGCAATCAAGCTTCACAGCAACCTGCAGCGAGGCAGGTGGACTGGGATACTCCAAGAATTCATTGGTAGAGAGAAACCAAGTTAGAAAATGAATCTCCCGGTCACTTCTACCCTGCTTTTGATACCGGTTTCTAGGACAAACACATTATTTGTTGGCTTACATTAGAACAGACCCCTGCAAGCCACCTTTCTGCTCCTACCACTGCACTAGGAACCTCCCAGATAATCGCCCGCCCAGCCCCTACTTCGGTGCCGTCAGCGCAGTGGGTGCTGGGGAAGGTCGCTGCACCCCTCCTCACTGCTGCACCCACCACAGCCACCCCAAGGAAACTTGCCGGCAGCCAACGTGTGCTCTGCTGGCACGGGCTGCATTTGCAGAGGTGGTCAGAGGTGGCCGTGGAGGCAGATCCAACACCCAAGGCAGCCAAACCCAAACCGAAGGGGAGCACTGGGAACCAAAACCTTGGTGAAAATCCCGACTACCACCCAGTTCCCCTTCGGAGATCAGGACGTTCTCCCTGTTGTCCTAATAGCAGCACTTATTACAGAGTTCTCCAGAAAACCCAGACAAAACCAAGATCTCTGTCTCTGGCTTTGCTGATGCAAAAGCCAAATTACAGCTCCTATTTGTAACCCTAGGTTTTCCATTGAAAGAGAAAGACAGAAGACAGAAAAGGGAAGGACAATTGAGACCGATTTGAGAGATGGAGAAGTGAAACATGGATCCTGTGTCTTGCTCATGGAGTTAGTTTACAGTGAAGGCTAAAAATAAACCCTGAACCTCCAAGCTGCTGCCTTAACTAGAAGAGTGTTTCTTCTCCCTGGCCCCTGGCTGTAATACTTGCCGGGCTCGCTCCCCTCTGAGCAGCAGAGAGTGGCCACTTTCCACCACCTGGAAGGAGAAGCTGCTCGTGCCGGGGCTGTCGGGCTCAGGTACCCATCTCCATAGGGCAGTGGAGGAAGGAGCAGACCACGAGGCCAGTTCCCTGCCAAAGGCAAACGGGCCGTTGAATGAGAGCAGGCAGCAGGCAGGGGTCTGGCCCTGCTCACCTTCAACTTCACGTGAACCAGGCAACGTGCCAAAACAAAATGGGCACGGGCTTTGCGTTTAGTCTCCAGGTTTCTGCGTCCTTCACCCACTCTCTTGTTCGAGGCCTTGCTCTTCCCTGCCACCCCGAGGTGGGATGGAGGTAGCTCTTTGCATGCTTTCAAACTGATCTTTCTGGGGATAAAGTGAGACTCCTGTTTCTCAGGACTCTCCAACAGACTAAATTTGAGTTTCCTGTGAGGATGATAAAGCACCTTTCCCCATCCGTGAATCTCCCTCCTGTACTGCTCACCCACGGCTCAACATTTGCCACCTTCTAGAAAGAGCCGACCGGTGGGTAAGAGTGCGTCTGGTCCCATCACAAGGGCACTCCGGTCGGGACTGCCTCCAGGGCTGGGGAGCTGCCGACGTCTAAGTGGCAAAGGGACAAGCAGGTGCCTGGACGTGGGCTATTTTCCCCTGTGCCGGGACGCGGGAGTCCGACCCGCACACTCCACTCAGCGCTCGCACAGAACCTGCTCTTAGTGGAAAAGGAAAATTACAAAATATTAATGGGCAGGAAATTCATGGCAGTTTTCACTGGACTTTCACATGATTTATGACTTTAGGTGTGAATTCCTTCCCTGCTTCCCCCTTGCACCCAACGGGGTTTGGCCTCTTCAGCAGTGTAAAGAAGCCCAGGTTTGGGAGCTCCAGCCACCCGGGCTACTGGCAGGAGCAGCACCTAGCTGGAGCTTCCTTAAGCCCAGGGAATCCCTGCCTGCAGGAACAACCCCTCAGTAACACTAGAGGAACACAGACAAACCCTGAAACTCCTGCAGCACCGCTACCAGTAGCTCTGGGGACTTGGGACAGAACAGGAGAAGGAGGAATCTTGGGGTCTAGATCTTCAGCAGCCACCCCACGGGGTCTCCATGGATCTGGGATGGCTCCCAGACCTTTCACACTCACTTGGTACCCCAGCGTTTGCGAAAGGAGTCAGCAAAGCTCTTTTTAAACTTGTCATTAGCAAAGACATAAATCAGGGGATCCAGACAGGCATTCGCCATGGTTAACACCCAGCTGACGTAGTAGGCAACTTCTACTTGCTGCAAGAGCTTGCAAGATATGTCGTAGTACTTCACAATGACGCCAATGGTCCTGCAGATGTGCAGGGGGCCAAAGCAGACAGCAAAAATCACCAGAGACACCGTTATCATCTGCAGAGACCTGCTCTTCATCTTCTTGCCACTGGAGCTTTTCTTTGCTGCTTTAGCAATGGCAGCTCCCAACAGAGCTCCGTAAGTCAAGGAAATGGCAAAGGGCAGGAGGAAAGAGAGCACGACCAAAGCCATGTTGTAGAAGTAGTAAACAGAGGACAGCTCTGACTGATGAATATTTAGGCATTTTGCTGAGCCATTAATAACTGAAGTCTTGAGGAGGAAGAAGAAAGGCAGTCCTTGGACAAGGAGAACGAGCCAGACAAACAAGGACAGCTTTTTCAAGAAGCTCCTCTTCTTCCAGAGGGACTTGCTCTTGTACCGTACAATGACAAAGTACCGGTGAATGCAGATGAGCGTCAGGAAATAGATGCTACTGTACATGTGGGAGCTGTGCAGGAAGACTTCGAACTGGCAGAGAAACTGCCCAAATGGCCACTGGTTGCCAAGGCTGAGGTAGGAAATCCTGAGTGGAGCAACGGGGATGATCAGAATATCTCCCAGGACCAGGCTGAACTGCAGGATCATGCCCGAATCCCACTGCTTGATGCGGAAGTAGAACACCCAGAAGCTCATGCCGTTCAGCAGGGGTCCCCAGGGCAGGGATGGTGGGGTGCAGCCTCTGGGGCATGCAGTCCACGCTGGTGTTCATGAAGGCAGGGGAGGCCAGTGGCTCCAAGGACTTCGATGAGGTCTCTGTGCTGACCTGCGAGGCGTGAGCTGGAAAAGAGAAAGCAGTGAAACCACCCGAGCTCATCATCCTTAGGCTGAGCTGGATCAGAGGCAACAGTGGCTGAAGCAGCAGAGGAGACGTCTCTGTGCTGACCTGCGAGGCGAGGGGTGGAAAACAGAAAGCAGTGAAACCACATGAGCTCACCATCCTTAGGCTGAGCTCGATCAGAGGCAACAGTGGCTGAAGCAGCAGAGGCAGGTCTTCACATGACCCCTGATCCTGAAGGCCTGCGGCCAAAATTTGACCACATTTATCCCAGCCTCCACAGGAGGAGACTTGGCAGGTGTAGGTGGCCAAATCTTGCTTTTCACATGAAATTGTGTGACCTCGTGGGAGTCAGACTCGAACCTGCCACGCTCAGCTTGGCGCTCTCTGACTGCGCTGCCAAGGAAAGGGCTACAAAGAAACCGCAGGAGCAGCTTAAATGTTCACCACTACCAGCTACCAATGGGGGAAGATGAAATGGATGATGCTGTTGCTGTTTGGCTCCGAAAGCCTCTGCATTTAAAATCACGTGTGAGATCCCAGCATCACCCGCGCTACAACTATTTCAGCCAGTTTTGTTACAGCGCAGCTGGCAATCGGCTCTCTGACCTGCTCCCCCTCCTGCTGCCAGACCTCGCAGCCCTGCAGACAGCAGCCCCCCACACCCTCCGTCCGCCTCGCTCGGCTGGGGTTCCCCGACGTC